TTTTTTTGCATGTTTCATCTATCAGCAGGGTAGATGAGCCTCTGATCATAAAAAATAAGGATAAAAGAATCTTATTCTGCCATATGATATTGGTCACTAGTTTCTTATTGTACCATTCTCAATCTTAGGGTTTCTTTCCATTTAGGTTCTCTACAAGAATGTATATTTCAAGATTCAGATCAGATATTGTGAATTCTAGTAATTAATTCTTAACTGATGTAAATCAGGAACTATCATTTGTCAAGCTAAAATTATGTCTATATAAAATACAAACTCAAATCTTTTCCTCCCCCAATTTTTGGACAGGTTTTTTGCTCTCAAATATGCTGCAGATGCTGCCTGTACTGTATTGCGCGTGGACCAGGTATTTGATTCTTGCATCTGTCACCTTTCCTTATGATTTGAAATTGGTATCTGCTAAACTTTTAGGTTCTTGAGCAGCTTGGTTTGGTTGCACTTTAGATTTGGTCTATTATTCTTGAATGAGATGACAGTGGAATTGATTTATAGTCATATATATGGAACTGAACACGAATTTGAATTGTGACTTTAGCTTGCTTTGTTTTATTTTTCCCATTCTGCTATGCAGATTATAATGGCAAAACCAGCTGGTGGTCCAAGGAGAGATGCTGCACCTGGAGGGATGGATGAAGATTAGTTTCGCACATGGCAACTTCGCTTTTGTCTTGACTGTATCACTTTAAAACGATTTTGTTTAGAGTCAAAGAAAAGATATGTATATGCCATTTCGAATCCAACTGATGTGATGGTTGGTTTCAATTAGTTCTGTAGTTTCTATTGAAAAATGTGTTTGGTTTTTTGTGCTGTGAGCATCTTTGGCGAATGAATTTGGTTTCTTCCATTGCCCGCATCTGAGGTGTGCAATGTATTAGGGATGTGTTATGAGTTTGTTAAAGGTGTGTTTCTGTTCGGTGAAAACTGGAGCACATCTTTCTTGTATGCCTTCTGTTGCCAATAATGACTAGGGTTTTATGTAGGATTGACTAAGATTATAATGGGTTGTTAGTGAGTATGATAGTGGCTGAAGTATTTTTCATTTGAAAATGTGTTAAAATAATTTATTTTTTAAAAATAATTTTTATATGAGTATTTTAAAATGATATAAAAATATATAAACAAAATTAAACAAAACTTTTTTTTTAAAAAAAAAAAACAATATCAATTGTGTTTTTAAACACCCTGATCTTCAGAGTCGATCTGTAATCTGACTCCCCAACCTGCAGATTTTGTAATCCAAATTCTACCCTCCAAATCCAATTTAGCTTGATGGATGGGGAGGTGAATCTGTCAAATGCCTGTGGTAATTTAGCTTGATGGATGGGGAAGGCTGCTGCTCCTAATGTACTGGGGTTTAACAAAATATCCTCTTCGTTCGAAAGGCAAAATGTTATACGTCTTGCACATCAGGTAGATAAGGCATCAAATTCTAGGAATCGAACAGTGTTCCAACTGTTTATCTAACTGTTAGAAATGGCAGCTCTGTGAGGGATCGGATACCTAATGCTCACGTCACGTCTTCCAGGCCAAAAGTTCATTGAAGGATGATGGTTTTGAGGAGTTTCGTTCTTTATACACTTCTTGGTAATGAAGAGGATTCCAGTCAAGCTGAAGGAGGCATTGGTTTGGTCATTCAGTGATTCCTCTGAAGGCGGTTCCAAAGGGTCACTCGTTTCTTCTTCTGAATGGACTGTAAAGGATGCTGGCTCTGACTCCATCGATGCGATTCAGGTATTTTCTTGGTTGCATCGTTTTGTTCAGCTTATATCTTATTTCTTTTAACTAGTTCATGCCTGAAACTGATCGGGTTCTTTTGAGAGGAAAGATAATTTTAAGGTTTTTTTTTGTTTGAATTTTAGACTTTGCAAACTAGTTCATGCCTGAAACTGATCGGGTTTTTTTTGAGAGGAAAGATAACAAGTGAAGGACAGGGTCAAGTGACAACTTTATCAATTAATATATCATTAATTTTTTATTTTGGAAATGTAAAAATGGTTGACTAATCAATTCCAAGAACGAGAAGATGCGGCAATTTTGGAACTATTTAGGGGGTTGTTCAGTTTAAGGCTCGAATTCCCTTCAAATTTTATATCCTGGCATTTTGTCTTGGAATCATGAGCCTGGATCCGTTTATGTTCACAGTAACTGAACTTCTTTTACCATTGATCAAAATCTTCCTTTGTTCAGTGGCAAGAGGAAGAAGGGAGGAGGAGGGTGGGGGTTGTAGAGTTAAAGCTGCAGCCTGCTTTTCTTAGGGAGGAGGAGGGTCAACGCCTACTCAAGGACTGAAATTCTCATGCTTGTTTTTACGGCTTGTTGAAGGTTGAATTGAGCTGCAGCAGTGGACCTCTTGACATAACATTTGCAGTCTCACTTTATCCACTGAACATGGCAACAGCAGTGATAGTAAAGAATAATGGTCGAAAGGATGTGACTCTAACTAGTTCTATACTTCGTCATCTCAAATTCATAAGACGAGCAAAGGCAGGGATCCAAGGACACAGAAAATGTTCTTACTGAACACGACCTCCTTTATCTTCACCTTTCAAAGTTTTATCTGCGTCTGAAGTAATGAAAGTAGAGTCTCCGAGAATGTTTGATTTTGATTTCGAGCCTGAAGAGAAACCTGGGTCATGGAAAGTGCAAGATGAGCCCTTCACAATTTTGAAGAATAGGCTTGGTAGAGTTTATGCTGCTCCACCAGAAGAGAGGTTGAAAGCATTCTATTACACCTCTCCTATAAAATATGAAGCGCTCGATCAGGTATGTGCGTGTCATTTCTACTTCCAGCCCAAGATCAAATGGCTCTAGCATATAGTATATGAAATAAATGTTGAGAAAGTTTTTAGCTTGTCACCATGGCTCATCACTTTCAGAATCATCCATTTCCTTAAGTGTTTTATAAATGAGAACATGAAAAGAAATTTTGTCACCTTAGCTCGTAGAATTTCACAATGGTATCATATCTGAATCTAACTAGAGAGTTCCTTTATACATGAATTGTATTTGTGTCTCTAGTTTGTGTCCTTGTTCCTCAGAGTTGAGCAACAGGAGACTGCAGTGCTGGTTCTTTTCTTAGTTCAGTAACTGCACTGTGATTTTATTATGCCATCTGCTTTATCTTGCATCTTTTGTGCTGGTTTTTTATATATGAAAACGAAACTAACAATTATCAACATTTGTAATTGGATTTGCATAATTAGTATGACTAAATTTAGATATAATCATAACATTGTATAGATGAATTGATATGATTTTGTTGGTTTACTAGTTGGTAAATAACTTTGTCCTTTCAAAATTGCTTTTCTGTAGTTGTCTGTAGTCTTCGAAAACTATACTTCATAGGCATCGACTCAAGTACATAGTTAGGTTTTCTTATACAAATACTGATGAACAGAATATTTCAATTAAACTGCATGTGCTTGTTGTCTATTTATGTCATAAGATCATCTGCAACTGAGCAATCTAATGAGTCACAAAAATGGTTGGCGGTTCATTTCGGGGAAAAGAGCTTTTCTTCAGGGTGATACAGATCGGTTTCGAAGATAATTACACTGGAAGCCGTGGCTCATTTGCTGAGAAGTATGGTAAGAACTATTTTATCTGCACTGGCCCCACTGCAATGCTGGTCCTTGTCGTGAAACCTGGTGAAGATTGGAAGGGATATTTTGTAATTAAAGATTTTGATATCAAATTCAAAATCAACAAGTATCCTTAAACCCACGGAAAATGCCTTGAATGGCCAGATGAACTACAACTGCTGGAGCACGAGCACGAATTGCTTTGAGTTTGAGAAAGATTTCCGCTAGAATGCACATTGGCGGAGCCTGTGCAGAAAATCGGGTTCAGAAAACAGTCTACTCAGCAAATAAAAATATAACATGAAAGATAAATTTTCAGTGATAAAAGAAATGAACTAAAATCGTTTGTAAAGGATCAGATTGCACTGATGCTAAAAGCTGAAAGGAAGAATAGGCTGACATGTTCCCGAAACTGTTTTAAGTTTCTCAATTTCCAACAAAGTTCTCTCAAAACTGTCTCGTAAAGTTTTCCTGTGAATTCATTAAGTTTTATTTGTCTGCGTTGATACAGGTTAAAATGTACGCACTGATGCAAAAGATGTGGTTGAAGTAACATGCATTTTGAGTCTCCACGGAGAAATGTAAGCACTTAAGCTCAGAGCTTAGTGTCTCAAACTCGAAATCTTCATCATCCAAATGAGGGGTTGTACTATTTAGTAGCCATCTTACAGTAAGCACACCTTAAGCAACCTATGCACATGGATTGGAGGGATAATATTTCTGTAGAGGCCTATGTTCTTATCAAGTTTCGGCATTGTTCCTCCTGGCCTTAGAAAAAGTGGGTTTGGTTCTGGCCACCGGTGGGGCAATTTGGGGCTCAAAAGGATTTTTTACTTGCTGGGAGAGAAATCAGAAGAATGATGATAAATGAAAAGACTGCCTACTAGACAGTGAGGAAATGGAGAGTCAAGAAAACGATAATTATAAGAATTTAACTGACCAGATGAGCAGGATTTACACAAGCTCACGACCCGACTTCACAGTCATCAACCAGTTGCTTTTCTCATCGACTCTCGTTTTCAATAATTCAAGCTCAGTAGTTTACCAAATTCTCAGCACCTTGCAGTTTGGTTAGTTTTGTTTTTGACTATATCAATACCCACATCTTCCTAGGAGCTGTAGTTATCAGAAATAGTTTTTCGTAGCCCACATACATAAATTTGTATTATAAAATTTGAAAAGAAACGAAACACAGCAAACCATTCATGTTTGTGAAGAGAAGGCACAGTTGCTTGCATCACATATCACTTCACTGTCCAGGGGACAATTCTTGTCTCTGCTTCTATAGTTTCTCTCCTTCCTCCTCTGAAAAATAAGCAAAACTGATTTTGCAGGTGAAGTTTAAGGAACAATATTCTGTTCTGTAGTGAACATGTTTAATGATAAAAAAGAAAAAAAGGGTTGCAAGAACAGAAAGTGTTTCCTAATATTAAGAACATAATCATCCAACTCATAGTTTGAACAATTGACTACCTTACACTACAGAGAAACATAGGATTTTCACAATGACCTAATACACGGTAATTGGAAGATTTTGATACAGATGTCAGAACTAAGTTGGAACCATATGATGGTCATCATCTTGCAGATAAATGCACATTAATGAGGCAAAAATTGCTAGCAAAGCAATACAGAACCCAACAGCTAAAATAGATGAAGTCTTCCTCGCATCTTTTTCAGTGCAAAATTTATTAGCATGAGGTTTATTTCTACGAATCACCTCTGGAGATGCTTGCACATCAGTTTTGACTGGAATGCCATCTGTTGATGCCACTGATTCAGAGGCACCTTGGAACTCCCCAACGCCAGTATACGACTTTCCATTCTCATCGACCTCTAAACCCACATCATGCTGAAAGCCATTTCGTTTTAATCTCGGAGTGGGGCTGTAATCACTTCCATTCTCATCGACCTCTAAACCCACATGCTGAGAGCCATTTCGTTTTAATCTCGGAGTAGGGCTGTAATCATATTTGCTCGAGCATGGACTTCCAAACTTTCCGTTTTGTTTCTCAGAGAAGTCTGAATCTAAATCATTAGGATCCTGAAGAGCACGTACGAGCTTCCTGGGAGTTGTGAAGATGCTAACGTTGTCAACATTTATACGAGATTGTGACCGCTGAAACACAAACAAAATGGTGTCAAATGCAATCTATATCAGCAATCAAAATCCAATATCACAAACATCAAATAAATTTGTAGCGTTTGGCAAATGTTGATATATCTCATGCAACTGCAACCAAAAAAGGAGCACAAGCCTACAACCAAATGTAAATAAGTAATTTGATCATGTGTGGAACAAGAATCTCAGCAATAAATCTAGCCTCCCTTGGGCCTGTGATCACTGTATTAATTTAGGCAACCTATATCAGCTATGACTTAATGAGCGCTTGACAGCAAAGGAGGAAACATAGCCATTTTACAACAATGAAACCACTAATTAAAGCTAAATTCCAAATGGGAAAATTGGGATAATCCTTCAAACTGGTTCCCAAGCTGTCTAACCTGTATTTTGAAAACATTGGTGGCAGTTTAACATACTTATCAAATATGTTTTAAATGGAAAATCACCACTGTAGCCAGCCCATTTCTGAACCCGGAGGTTAAAATCCGTCGTCACTGTTCAATGCCTAAATTGTGGTTAAGAATAATAAGAAAAATAAACCTCCTAAGCTGCACATTAAGAAAAGGTGTCCAAAATCACCATCAGAGCTCACTGGAGGTCAATCTTTTTCTAACTAATCGTAGAAGTGACTAATGAAACAAGTCCGTAGACGTGACTAATGAAACAAGTCCCAAAATCGTAGAAGTGACTAATGAAACAAGTCCCAGCACGATACCTGAGGGCTGGGAGTGGTGCTTCTCGATAGTTTGTTTCTAGGACTCCTAGGCAAGAACCCTGCAAATTCACCCATGTAATTTCCTCCGTTTTCAGTAAGCTCATATAGCCCAGACTGATCAGAGAATGCATCGTGGATGGGACTTCCCTGAGACAACTCTGAAAATAAACCATCTTTTAGAGATATGTCCACCCCTCCATTCTCAAAATTCCAGAGTTTTCGGTTCACACTCCCACGGTCACACTCATTAGAAGAAACATTAGTTGTTGAAATAGGTGACTCGGTGAAAGATTCATATTCCATAAAGAAATCGAGAGTCTGTGATTCTGGTGATACAGATGCTGGAGATTGATCACCATAGGCACTGGAAAAATTTCTCCTCCCTCTGTGGTCTCTCCTGCCAAAGTTCGATCCACTAACTGAACCAGAACTCTTCTCAAATTTTGTCCCTTTCTCTGTGGCTATTTTCTTTGCAGTTTGCAAAGCTTCAAATGCAGCTCCACTCACAAATGCCATCTGATCGGACTGGCACTTATCCATCTCCTCAATTATCAACTCAAGCTCTGAGAATATGCTCCTAGGATCCAGGCACTTCATCAAGAAATTGATCATTTGGATAGCTGATAATCGTTTCTGAGAATTACCCTCCAAGACCCCAGCTTTCAAGATACGCAATCCTGATTGTATCAAAAGTCTTACATATGCTTCAACTATCAAAGCATTATGCTTAGCCAAAGCCATCACCAAGGCCATGTGCGAATTAGTTTGCGTGCACTTCTCCTCCAAAGCGACAGCCACATTCTGACAAACCCGATTCACCATCTCATCCGAAGCAAATCGCCAATTATCTGAGTCCACTAGAGCCTTCAGGCAAAGGGCAGCCCCTGAAGTCAGGCATTCTTGAGAACCTAAGAGAGCTTCTGAAAGAGGCTTACAAAGTGAGTGGATTATATGCCTTTTCTTATCCTCTGGTGTCGTCGGTTCAATGCCATATCTTGCAATTGCTGGCACCACCTTGGAGCATGCTTGTTGAAGAGGAAAATACCCTGCACTTGAAGCTAAAGTCTTGATGATAGTAGCCATGATACTATCAATCTGAGGAACAATATTAACTCCATGGACACGAGCAAGAACTTCATAGAGTGAAATTGTGTATTCGCCAGATAAAGACCCAGTTTCTTTGGTTTCAGAAACTTGAGCAAGAAATTGTGGGATTGCCTTGGAATCCAAGCTTTTCACATACGATTTCAGTGCTTTCATTGCTGATTTACGACTATCAGCATCTTTGTCAAGATTTGCCAATTCTTGCCGCAGTATTGGACTGAGATTTCTTCCCATTGTATACCTGATACCAAACAATCAACTGGAATCGAGATTATCAAAATATATTCTCTACAACTCAGTTACTATGCTGGAAATGATTTCAGTAGTTACAAGGCCTCTTCTTTACTTCCAATTCTATGCCTAAATGCTTGCATCTTTAAGGGTTCTCCATGAGAGCTGTTAACTTTTAATTATCAGATTCATTATATACTCACTAATATCCAAACAAAGAAAAAATATAAATCCACATCAATGAAAGTTTCATGTCCTCTCAATTACTAAAGCAAAGAAAGGTCTGCCCAAGACTGAACAAGTAAATTTCATTCTTTCCCGCACTTTCTCAGAGACCAAACAGGAAAAACCGAGAGTTTAGATATAAATGACGAACAGGGAAAAAGAGAGAGAGAGCGAAAAAGGGTTCCCATTTATCTACAAAAAACACCACAAATTTATATTAAGAAATCCAAAATCTTTCAGAGAGTAGAATTGAAAAGAAGAACTTAAACTAGCAAACGAACATTTTGAAAGCATAAGAGAAAACCCCACAAAGAGCACAAAACTTACCTCTTTAAGCTTTCTCTCCGTGTTTCTTAGTGCTGCTGCTGCTGCTTCTTCTTGCACAAAACTTACCTCTTTAAGCTTTCTCTCTGTGTTTCTTGGTGCTGCTGCTGCTTCTTCTATATACTGCTCTCCTCACTTCTTACACAAATCAAGAACAGATTTTTAAGAAAACAAAAAGATGAAATCTTTTGGAAACGAAATGAGAGATTGGTTAATGGTTGTGAGTTTTAGCTGGTGGGTTTCGTTTTTTATAAATATTTTCTAAGCAAATCTAGCTGTCCGATGAGGTTTCCTTTGTTTTTTGTCTTCGTTGTGAAAGGAAAGGGGTACGTTAAAATTCAAATCCATCTCTGAAATTCCGCCGCTATCCTTCTTTGAGTGGGCTCCATCCAGGTTCGCTTTGTCATCTTGGACTATTTTGCACTTTTGGGACTTTTACCGTTTATTAGGAGGGCGTGCGGAGGTTAGTTTTTAAAATATTTTTTTTATTTAAACGAGCTTTTTTATTTTTTAATATTAAAATAATTCAAAATAAAAAAAATTAATTTTGACGGAAAGCAATTTTAATCTCAATGTCAAATATCCTCTAAATATATTTGTTAATGTAAATTTAAAGCTTTTTAAAAGTATTTTTTCATTAAAGATATTTTTTAATTTTAATTTTAATTTTAATATATTAAAAGTAATAAAAAAATACCTAGAAGAGCATAAATTTAATATTTTTTTAAATAAAAATATTTTGAAAAACAAAATACCAATATCAAGCAAACATTTAAAACAAAAAAAAAATCGATAATAGTAATACGAAAAAAAGTAGATGTCTGTTAAAGCTTGACTATCAGATAATTTTTTTAAAAAAATAAAATTAAATAAATGGTAGAATTTATAAATTTCTTCTATTTTCAGCTGTGTGAACTGTGATTAATAAAATTATATGGTTGACTTGACTGATATGTTAATAATTGTTAAATTTAGGTAATACCGAGTTAGGCTTAAATTTGTAACAATTAATTATTTTTTTTAAAAAAAAATCAATGTTAGGCTTAACTTATCCATAGCATTTAGTTTCAAGATTTATCATGTTGAAAAAATTATAAAGTGAATAAAAAAACCAATCACAGACACTCATTTTTATTGTTTTCTCTATTCATGACTTTTTATTTCATTGTGATATTAATTTTAATTTTTTTTTATTTAATTACGTATACATAGACCATTTAATGCTGGAGAATTTTTAAAGAAAATAATTTGTTTTATTAGTTATTTTTATTCCTATTTAGATGGTCACTCTACTAAACAAAACTATAATTTAGAAAAATAATTTTTTTATAGTTTTTTATTATTTATATTTATTCTAGGATTTTTTTTCTTGTTTGGTTTAGGTATGAATATTATAAATAAAGTATTTTATTTTGTATTTTAGAGACTATTTAAAAATAAAATATTTGGTAATAAAATTTTATATTAAGGTTTTGTATGCTAATCCTATTTGGTATATTTTTGTGTTGTTTGTACTTAATTTTTTTCTTGTATTGTTTTTATTGATATCAATTGATATCAAAACTAAATAATTCACAGCAATTAGTTATCGTAGTTTTTTAAATAATTATGATTGAGATTAAAATAGATGGTTGCATGATAAAACATATTTGTATAATAAAATATATTTGTATAGGGAGGGATTAATAAATTATCTCTTGAAGAAGAGAAATTTAAAAATTGATGATAAAAAACCTGCATAAACAAAGTATATAATTGACATATTGAATGGGGATGATAACATTGTAGAAGCATGCTTAATAATTATCTTGTCAATTGATAGAAATGAAGAAGAAGAAACTAGAAATTGGGGTGAAGAATCATCATGAATTCATAATCAATTTTAAGAACTTGATTTAGAAACGAGAATGGAGATGGCAATCTTTCGATGGAGATGAATATCATAAAAAATTTAGTGATTTTATTTACAAATAGATAAATGTGAATTGGTGTTTTCCACCAATTTTATAAAAGTTTTTTTTATTAACCAAACACCAATTGTTAGATCCATCGTCGTAAATAACCATGTAATTTACTTTAATTGATTCCTTGGATATCTGTGAAATCTGTAGTTCAAGAACTTCAGAGCTTTATGTTTTTTATACAAGGCATTAACCATGAAAGATTAAGTGAAATTAATTCTCTTTTTTTTAAAAAAATGTTGAAACAATTAAAACCATGGATATCTACTACAAATCTTAAATAGGTTCGAGTGCCGAAAGAAGTGGCTTGACGATCTATATAATTAAAGAATTTTTTTTTTTAATTTGTATATTGCACAAGACCCCCCCACCTCAACATTCATGTAAAAAATCAACTACCTTTAGAGGAGCACGAGTGTCATAATAACTTCTTTTTTTTTTAAAAAAAAAAAATCAACTAATGAATATCAAAATTATGCAGAGTGGTTAGATATACACGTGTATCTATAAAAAAACACATTAAGAAAAGGTAGATGGTGTGAGGTAGTTGATAATAAAAAAAAAAAAGTTATTAAAATTTATTAATAGTTATTATTTTTTAAAATATATTTTATTTAGAATTATATTAAAATATTATTTTATTTTTAACATTAATATATAAAAATAATTTAAAGATATTAAAAAAATAATTTAAAGGTAAAAATAAAATTTTTTAAAAGCGTGATTAGACTAGTAATGAAAAATAAATTTTATTTGGTATTGTGATAGTAATTATTTTTTAAGATATTTTTTATTTATAAATATATTAAAATATTATTTTTAATAAAATAATTTAAAAATAAAAAATAATTGTTTTAAAAGTAATTTTTTACAAAAATACTTTCCACCATGTAAATAATCCTCACTGGAAACAAAATTTATAAAAAGATAGTCAGTTTTTAAGTTTATTTTTTAATGATTATAAATTTAAATATTTTTAAATTATTAAAGATTTATATAATTATTAATTTTAAAATAATAATATTAATCAAGCCGCCATCAATAAAAACCAAATTACAAAAAGATCATGCTGGTTACAAAAAGGTTAAAAAATCATGCTGGATTGCGTGCCCTTACCTCATCACCCACGTCATCCCCTTAGTAAAAAGATTCGGGAAGTGAAAGCAGGACAGCGCCCTGCATGCCTTGACGAGGGTACATTCGTCATTCAGCTCAGAATTCCAATTTTCAAGCTCGCGCTTACTTTCGGGCACCCAAAATCTTAAATGTTTCCCGCTGTTTCATTCGGTCTCAAATTGAATCTGGCTGCCCAGAAGAGTACAAAAAGGCTAGTCAAATTGAATCCCGCTAGTGAAATAGCCACAATGCCCCTCTCAGTTGGGCCCTCCCTTTAGCCTGGCAAAACCATGCACGAGTCTTGTGTTCCGGCCTTATGTGTTCATAATTCTTTTAAATGGATTTCCATTCCAAGAGGCAGGAAGGTAGACTTTAGCATTTTATTTTTGTATTTTAAAAATATTTTTAATTTAATTTAATTTTTTATATAATTTTAAATTATTTTGATGCGTTGAGGTTAAAAATATTTTTTTAAAATATATTATTTCAATACATTTTATAAAATAATGACTTTTAAAAACAACTGATATAATAATAATATGTCCAAATTATGCAATTTTTTTTGTCAAAACCAAGCACTGAGTCTTGTGTTTCGGTCTTATGTGTTCATAATTCTTTAAAATTGGATTTCCATTCCCAGCGGCAATATTTTGTGTTTTAAGAATACTTTTTTGTTAATTTTTTTTTATTTTTCTCTATGCTATAAATTATTTTTTTTAGTGTTTTTATATTATGTTAATGTATTGATATTAAAAATAAAAAATATTTTCAAATAAAAACCACTTCAAAAAACAAACAATGAGACTATCAAACTAGCTCATTTCCTGCATCCAGTCCAAAATCACGCAATTTTTGGGACACATCCCGCTTGATTTGATCTCACTTGGGAGGGGGCATATAGCTTGGTTAGTCTGCCTAATGAGATTTTTGGTCAGATATCCATCCATACACAGTGATTAGTTTCCACGACAGATTGTGCAGGAGAAAGTGACTGGTGGTGGTCCAAGTTTCTTCGGATGCTAGAGACGGATAACAGGTAGGTAGAGCAAGATAACGACGGATGCAAGAGAATCCCTGCCCCATTACTCACACTTGTAAAGCTGTAAAATGTGATGCAAGACAAGAAGAATAAAAGTATAAACTTTATCTTCAAATTTTCATACCACCATTCGCCCATCCAAATTCCCCCCACAAAAAAAATTCAATTTCCCACCAGAAGATGCCAATGCTCTTGCCTTCTGCTAAAGCACAGGGGATTTCGGGCATGTGTTTATTAATTCTGGTTTTACTGGTTAAACTATTCTTGGATTAGCTGTGTACCACGATCAACTCTTCCCCCAGTCACAGGATTTATAAAGTGTTGAAATTGGAGGACACCCTAACCATTGAGGGACTGCTGCTTTGACTTTTCCCTCGTTGAAAATAACTTCGGTTTGGATGCAAGAATTCATAGTAATATATGCATCATGAATTTTACTGCGGTATGCATGGGGATATGTAAACATCTGTTTCCCTTGCTGTTCCTGGAGAGAGGGAGAGGGCGAGGATAACATAAAGAACTTCAGAGAACCCAATGTTGGAACAAAACCTGGCTCTATTTGACCACATTGCAGTTGTAATGTTTTGTTGCAAACAAAAATTGATGGTACAATAAAGAAACTATTAATTATGAGTACATTCTACCATTGAAATTGAGGTAGATTCCTGCAGGTTGGACAATACCACTTTCCCTTGAATCTTGTCTCCGGTGTCAACCCAACACATGAATAATGGAACCATTCACCTCCTTGGCACTGTAAGCAGACAAACAAGTGGGTGAGTATTTAGCAAAAGCATTCTCAAAATAACTCATATATGAAACAGTTACAGCTATTAAAATTGCTCTGCCGAAATAAAAATGATGAAAGATTAAAGATACTGTAATTTCTGGATTTTAAATTCTCATTATTTTTGCCATATCAAATGTTGTCTTGAAACCTTATCAAAATGTTCACAAAAACTTAACTTGTTATGACTTAAACTCATGTTGAGTGCAAGATATGAAACTCTGGACAAGGAATCATAACAATGAACTTCAATTAAGAAGACAAGCACCAACATACACACAGCAAAGGTGAAAGCACTTACATTCTCATTATCACAAGCGATCATATCTCCAAAGGACACCTAAATGACCACAAACATTACAGAAGCTTAGTGATGTACAAGAATTTTTACTATGTATCTAAAGAA